TAGTGATAGATCAGCTGCAAATTATGTATGTATGTTTTTATGTATGAACACATTGTATGTAGCAATGCATACTTAGGTAGACGCGTTATATGTGATTTATATATCTATTCTAATTTCTGAATTATCGTATATATGTACAGATCTGCCGTGTCTTTCGGTATATTAACCGCTTGAAACAGATGTACGTGGTTCACAAAATATCGTTAGTGTCGTATTGTCGTAACTGGTCAAGATTTTAACGGCTAAATAAATGTTTAGAGGACTTTAATCTACAACCAACTATTTTTTACCGGTGTGAAATATCCTCCCAGCTAGCAAAATTGCCAGAAATCTGTTAGATATAAGTCAGACTCGTCGACAAAAAAGTCAGAAATCTGTATGATTTGGGCCGATATCGGTCAGAGCAGCGTATGGAGAGGTTGACAGGAAGTCTAACCGACACGACGTGGGAAAGTCTGTCCGACGATTCTGATGGATATCTAACAGAGGTCTGACCAAATAATCATGGAAAATAAGAATTATCAGACGTGTATGCCCGAAATCGGACATAATTCGATCAGACATACCGGATAAGGAAATAAATAAAATTCTGCAGACATTTCGCCCAGAAATCTGTACGAAACCTGTAAGATTTGTCTAAATAGTCAAATTTTTATTCCGACTTTTCTGATATCAGACATTTTCTGGGAAATGTGCTATCTGGGATAATACGACTTTTGTGATAGCTGGTGAATTCCTTAAATATAATTTTAGCCCTTTAAAGTTTACGACATACAATAATACGACAGCATACAACACTTTGTGAACTCCATAATAGTAAATAGGAATTTTTCTAAAAATCGAAAAGTATATTTTTGTATGCTCATTTCTGTACAAAAGATATCACACAACCAAACAAAAGTTTACATTGCCTTTAGGTACTCTCCAGTATCGATTGGAATGATGACTAGCTTGCTCAAGTGCTTCGCGATCGTAATAGCTAAAGTTTCGCCGAAAGTCCTGGTCGCTCAGTTCAGAACTAAATCAGTAACAATCAGTGCCGACCGAACCGGCGGGCGGCTGCTTCCCAAGTTTTTGTCTTTCCACTTATGGATACATTTTATCAATGTATTTTTTCGGAACTGATCAAATATTTCCATCAAATCAAGAAGTTATTCTAGCTCTGCAAGAAATAGCGATCTTGGATATCTGATATCCTTTAATGTGGTTCTTCCAACTTGCACTAACAACAACAATTACGTTTTCACAGCCACACAATTAAAATTATTTAATTCCTATTAAATATGTTCGACAATATGTTCTTTCTCTCACCCTAAAAACAAAAAAACTCGTCGCCGCTTAAAGCAGATCGACTGTCCTACCTCAGGAGTGAAAATATCATGTAAAGATCGGTATCGATTGATTCGTAAAGTAGTCAGGTTCGAGTCGTAAAGAAGTCGGGTTCGATTCGATGTCGGTAAACTCGTCTGGGTGAACTCGAAAAACTATTAAAAATCAAGAATATATATATATATATATATATATATATATATATATATATGCGCCAGTGGTATATGTATTACACCGTAAGTATACAATTTTTGTATTTTTTTCGGTTACATTACAAAATCCTTCGAAACATCAATTAAGCGCTAATTTTTATTGAAAAAAATTTTACGTTCCATGAGAAGTCTTCGCGATAAAGGAGAAACTTACAGAAGTATTGACAAAACTTTTAACAAAACACTGGCGACAATATTCAAGGTGATTAAAACCTTCAAGAACGATTGATCGCAGATATTCCCAGGGACGCCCGAAAACTAGCTCGTGTCAGAAGGTAAAACAGCACCATCGTCCTCCACTATTCGCAGGCTTCATGAAGATGGAAAGCATGGAAGGGTCATTCCAAAAATTCCTTTCATAAGCAAAATAATCCTCGTCGGTCAGATGTACGTTTGTCGCAAGCATGATGAAGCGTTGTCCTTCAAGTGCACAAAACCTATGATCAAGGCTAAATGGTTTGGAGATGCATTTCTGCTTATGGATTAGGGAAAACAAAAGTGCTCGAAGGAAAAACTAATTCCCAAGTTCACCCTAACTTGCTGAAAGACTTGATTATTCCTGAAGGTAAACGCCATTCACAAGGCCAGTTACAGAATATTTGGTGTGGCCTTCACAAAGCTCTGCCCTGTCAACAATTGAAAACTCGTGGGCGTGACTAAAAACACAAGTAAGTGAAAGGGGTCCTCGAAATCTGGCTGAACTGATCTGATTTTGGAGACATGGCCTTCTTTTACACAAGTAATGTGTAGAAAATATGTGCTTTCCCTACCGATCTGTTAAGCAAGAATGTAACATTGCGAAAATTCATAATATGACTTTGATGGTACTTTGCGAACCCCCGTAATATATTTTTACGAGTTTAAAGTTAACGTCAAACAACAATACGACAGTTACGACACCGTTATGAATACACCAAGCATTATTTAGCTCTTTTTAACTCTTTCTTCTATCGTTTTGGCTCCAATCGAAATTTTTCTGTGGCAACACTGTGGCAGCGCTGCTTTACCGCAATTGCGTTCTACTATACACGAGAACAAATTGTGTTTTTTTTTGATGTGGAAATTTAGGCGGTGAACTGTCTGAAAAAGAAAATGCAAAACGAAATATTTCCGCTTCAAACTTAAGTTGATATGTTGAGTAAACATTGATGATTTCATACGGAAAGTTAAATTAAGCTAAGTGTAGACTAACTGAGTTTTAAGCTAGAACACCTAACGGTAAGTAAAAATGAGCGTTTTTCGCAAGAATTTTGCTAATAAAATTTAATTTTAGAAACTTTGGATAACTTTTCGATAAAACCATTTTCGGTTTTTGCGGTCAAGAGCCTATTTCTTCTACAGTTATGAAAGATCACATTTCAAGTAGCGGTAACACATACCGCGCTCGCGGCTTAAGGGTTTAAACAATTTAATGTAATTATTTCTATGAAAAAGAGAGATGTAAAGCGCAAATAGGACTTCGTTTATTTAGTGTTATAGAAAAACCAAATTCTATAAGTCACTCATCATGTCCGCTCTGATGTATTTACATTTGAATGCTGCAGATGCATATTAAATGACAACATCCGATGAGGTGGCTCTTGGAGTGTTCGAGTGAAAGATTCTGCAGAAAATTTACGGGCCTTTGCGCGTTGACGACGGCGAATACCACATACGATGGAACTGTATGATCTTCACAACGATATGAACATAGTGCGGTGGATTAAACTACAGCGGCTCTGCTTAATTGGTCTTGTCGCATGAATGGACATGAAATGCTCCAGCTATGAAAGGATCACAAGGCTGGTGGCAGAGGAAGAGGATGGCCTGCTCATTTGGTATTCTAATGGAATGAAATCGGTTAAAAGGAAGCATTTTGCCTACATCACCATAAATTTTTAATAGTACACAAAAAAATCCATTAAAAGGTGCCTTATGGCCGTGTCAGTATGGGTACTTTGCGTACGCTCCGCTCAAGGATGAAAATGACAGTTGAGTAGACTGTGCGTATTTGCATAGAGAGAGAGAGAGAGAGAGAGAGAGTCAGATTGGCAACCCTCGCGTCGGCGGACCCAACGAACATATATATGATAGTTGTATAATCTTGCGTTTACAGAAGACAAGACAATTGGGAATATGTTTTAATTTTCACATGGTTTGAGTAAAATAGGCGTCCAGACAATAAATTGTTTGCGAAAAGCCAAAGACAGTGACGAACACATCAAAAAAGTGTGCATCTATTAGTAAAAAAAAGTGTGAATGTTTTGCTATTGTATCTGCAAAAATGCCTTGTGTAAACACCAAGGACGCGGCCATAAGGAAGAGCTGATTTTTGTTTTCAGACGCAACACCTTCATTGTGGCGTATCTCTACGTTACGTGCGCCACTTCCTTCGCATGCTTTTCGGTTATTGACGTACAAGTACCCATTTTATCGGACCTATAAGCTCTCACATAGACCAGTAGTTCATTCTAAGGGTTGCCAAAAGACCTGCCATTTTTCACCCTATTTTACTTCAAATGAAATCTAATTTTTCAATTTTTCACTTTTGAAAAAAATATAATTATAATATAAAATTTCCTAGTTTCTAAAGTTTAAACAATTGGTTCGTTTTATTTTAGTATTGCACTTTTGTTTAAGAAAGGTTTTTCTTATTTTATTGCTAAAAAGGGAAGGATATAGAAAAAGTAATGACACCTCTTTTGACACTAATAAGTTTCTATTTGGCACTTTTTATCCTTAACATGGCACCTCATAGCTAAGTATAGTTGAAAGCTCTGGTTATCAAGGCATTATGGTTATATGAATTTTAATCTTAAATGCACTGGAATTAAATTTTTTAACTCAATACAATCGTTCGCATATACATATTTAGCTTAGATAGTTCTATATTAAACAAAGTATAAAGTCGGCCTTTATCTCGTTTAAGCAGTGACGGTCAGGCCATTGAGAGCTTTCACTCTGTGCGGGTCCACACAAAATCCTAGAGCTTTTAGAAGTTTCTGCCGCAGATAATATAACCGAAGATTTTTTTAAATATATCTTAGAACACGTGTTAAAGCGAATCGATGATGGTACGAAAACTTCACATATCTCTGAAAGAATTGATTGGTTTTATATAGTACATTCACGTATATTTTTCATTTATGTATTTCCATTAATCGCTTCCCCAAAAAATCACTGTAAATGCCGGGTAACTTGTATGCATCCTTTTTTTGTAGATAATAGTTGCAGATTTCTTCGTAAGCAAATTTTTTTCATTTCATTTTTTTGATAACTTTAATACCAAATTTGTATTCGAACCGCGTGAAATTCCCCTTTAGCAAATGTGCGGGCGGCGCTTGATTTTAGCAAAAAAAAAAGTGCGAGACAAATTAGCGAGCGACCACGCGGCACTGGCAATAGCGGCGGCGGCGTTTGGAATTTTTCACAAGCACAAAATATGTTTTTTTTTTAAATTTCTATAATTAAATCACTAACAGCTTGTCATTTACTTAGTCGCAATTATTTTTAGATCTTCCCGGTTCCAGCGATGCAGCTACGCTTGAATAGTCCATAGATATGAATGCAGTTTTTACTTATTTATTTTTTTAAGTTCAATAACTTTCTAAAATTCTACACACTTTGTAGGCAAAAAAGTACAAAGATGCGATGCGAGTTGAGCTATTACTCAACCGAATTAGAATTACACCGCGCACCGTTTAGAAAAGAACTGAACGCAGCGGAACGCTGAGCGGACGTCGCAGCCAACTAAAAATTCTTCATTATGAGCAAGAAGCGCCGTCGCTGCCACACCACAAGCAATAAAAACAAACTAAAAATAATACAGCAAACAGCATTTGCCAACATGCGAATTATTAAATAAACATGTACGGCGGCAGCGCACAATAACACCAACAACAACAATTCACTACAATTAGCAAAAGCAACAACGGCAACGTAACGCGCAAAATGCGAAACAAGTATGCGATGCGAGTGGCAGCAGAAAACTTACAAAAATAATTGAAAAAAAATGGCAAATGCCATTTGAGTATAGCAAAAATGGTAAGCGCGCGCCGCGCCAGTGGTCGGAGCTTTGGAGAGGGGTAGGATGCGAAATATGCGGCGAGCAGCACCACTGAAGCGCGCGCGCGTGTGTGTACCAAAACCGAACCGAACCAAACTAAATTACGCCGAAACATTTGGAAGAAATTCGCAAAGAGCGGCAGTAGCCAAATGCTGTTAAAAAAGCCGCGCGCGTCAACGTAAACGCCGCGACAGCGATATGTATTCGTAGATGCCTTTATGCCAGCGCAGCTGACTTTTGGCGAAATTACCCACAACGCAGCAGCGAAGTGTACAAATGGCACTTTAGTAATGCGAAAATTAGGACACGAATAACGCGCGCGGCGACGGCGGCGTTTCACCGCGGCAGCAGAGCAGCAACAGGCGATCGCCTAGCAAAACAACGACGAGAGAGCGCGCGCATGGTTGCGCTTACGCTCATCCGCTTATGCAAAGTGTGCAAAAAGTAATGTAATGTGTTGATGGCGTTGCGAGCGCCACAACGATAGCGGTGGAGAGCGTAGATTGCAATAATAAGAATAACAGCGAACGGTGCGTTGGAGAAGGAGTTGGGGAGGGGGAAATTTGCGCGCATTTCAAGCAAGCGGCGTACAGCGGTGAGAATTTGCGATCGTCATTAGTTAAGTGGAGCGCTGGGTAGTGCGTTGCCAGATTGCGCTTATTTTGAAATATTTCTTGGGCAATAATTTAAATACGTATTAGTTAATTACGATGTAAGCGTATGCAGCGTAACATTTTTTGTTATTAAATGTCATTTTAATTAAGCATTCGCCAAAGCAATGCAAAATTATTCCCAATTTTTAAGTTAGCCCTCATTTATGCAATCTGGCTACTTCAGAGCATGCCGTTATGTGCTAGCAAATCAACTGGATGAGTACACCATCATATGGATATGCTAAATTAAGTTTCGTGAGCGAAAATAGCGTGTTTGAAGCGAGAGATTTGCAAAAATTCTCCTAGCAAATTGTTTACTAAGTCTTGCAAATCGTGTAAGTATGTGCTCGTGAGCTGTAGAAGGCCAATCGAGACTGCACATGCCGTCACCGTCGTCGCTTTGGCCTCGAACGCAGTTTAGCTATTGGGGCGGTTTTACATATTTATGTATGTACATATTTCAATTCATACGAATTTCGCGGAAGATCGCGTGAAGCAGCATAGGGCCCCGCGGGGTATGTGTATGTATGTAGTATGTGAGTAGCTACCTACCAAAAACTTTTATTTGTTTTTGGAAGCGCTTACTTTTTGTATCGACGGAGTAACGCATAACAATACGCCTGAAGGCACAGTATTTCACCTTCTCGCTTACCTCCAATTACATGTCCAGGCTAAAGTAATGCGTTCTGTAAACCAGATTTAGAGTTTCACCACTCACCTTCTCTAAAAATGCTTTCCCACTGCATTAACTGCAAGTGAAAAATTTTGTCTTGAGGGGTATTGTAATGCGCTACTCCATCGATACAAGAAGTAAGCGCTTACCAAAGAATCAAAGTTTTTGCTGGTTAAGTACATATGCACATTAGACTGCATCACTCCCCATAAAAAAAAATCGGAACCCTTTGAAATTATAAAATCTATTATATTTTAAGACTTTCACCAAAATATTTCGAAAATATGTATATGTTTACATGAGCTGGCCCGATTTGAAAGTACCTCCAAAAATTCAGTTTTTTATGAATAAAAATGGTTTTTCGAAAACAAGTACCTTATATGACAAAACAGTTTAAGCTTAGATATCTGCATAAACAAATTTATTAACGGTACAGTTTTTCTATATTTTAAGACTTGGATCAAAATATTTCGGAAATATATAAAGATTTACATGAGCTCGGCCGATTTGAAAATACCTTCTGCAAAGAAGTGAAAAGGATGAGAAAATACCTTTTCAGTGATAACTCATATAAGTCTAAATCGGTAAAGTTTTTCAAGTTTTTCTTAACCCTCTCAGTACAAAAAATTAGCCGTTAAAGCTAAAAATCTGAGAATTTGTTTAGCAGCTAGTTTTCGGCCATTTATTTCAAAAATGCAATCGAAAATCTTATAAAACTCTTAGTTTTACCGTTATTCAGCATCCATTTTATTGGACGGTGGTACTCTACATTTGTAAACCGGGATGTGATATCAATCATTTTTATTTTTTCTTTTGCGAATTATATTTCAAAATTGAGAATAACATTTACAATTTTTTTCGGATCTCAGTTCCACCATAAAGAGAATCGACTATTTGCGCGTTTGAAGATAACCTTTAGTCAGGTAAGAATTATGTAACTGTCGAATGTTCTTTGTGAAAGGTCTGTTGAAAAACCTTAGATAAATGTAATTAATATTTTTTCATAAAACGGCTTATCATGATGATTAAGTTCCGCGTTTTCTTTTATTAGTTAGCAGAAAAACACACCAAATAATTTAGACTTACCGGACAAAATTTGAATGCAGCGATATAAAGAAAAAAAAAAAATGGAATGTGAAAAGTTGACAGCCAAGTTCACAAATCAAACAAGAATCATTTCAAGGCGATTTAAATATCTATTGAGGAGTGGGGCTTGGCATGCAATATATCGTTAGTATAGTGTTGAAAGGGCGTAACTCTCACCTGCCTGTAACTAGGAAAAGTCGAGAACAGCTAATAAAGAAACGAATTACAAGCTATTCATTACCCGGGACCTAGGCAGATCTGATACCTTCATCGTCCCTGATTCCAATAATTCAAATAATTATAAAGAACGAGCGCCCTTTTAACAATACCACAAGATTTTTAACTAATTCGGCTGGCAGCCTCGACTTTCTAAACAGAAATTTCTTCGAAATTTTCATTCCTAGAAAATAACAATTTATGTGCCACACATTTTTCAAACCAGTCACAGAAGAAAGGATTAAAAATGAATTTAAAAAAATATATATATATAAAATCGAACCAAAAGAATGAATATGAAGAATTCTTTGAAAAACAACGGTCCAATTTTTAAACTCAAATACTAAATAAAAAAAAACTTTATTAAAAAGTACTAACTTTTCCATTTTTTTTTACCTAAATCACCCTATTTACTCATCTAAATTATTTATTAAAAAATAATTATCCACATTCGCGGATGTTAGCTTTTAAGCATTCGCATCCGCATCCGCGGATATCTAAAATTCCACATTCGCTACACCCCTAATACATCCATATCGTTAATGAAAGGAGAGACAAAAAATGTTATTTAAGTGAAATAATGAAATGTTTATTGAAAGATATTGATGGAATTTGTGTTAAAACAACTTAATTTTTTTAATCAATTATGTACAATTTCTGTCAGTTAGGGCCTTTGTGAATGCGAAGTTATAAAATAAATATTTTGTTTCCATATCAAAGTAAGTTAGTAGTTACTTTGAGTTATGGACTAAATAAGAAAAAGAATAGTATATAATATTTATGTAACTGTCAGATGTCTGTCGTTTCCTTTAAATAAAATTAATAAGACCGCGAAGGTATTTCTTTTTCTAATGCCGCGACATCTCCCAGAATGAATAAAAAAATTTATTTTCGGGTATTTTCATCATACAGAAGGCAGGGTTTTAAGTATAAGTTTCTTGGGAATTCAAAAAAACCAAATTTCGAAAAAATACCAGTTAGGGCCTTTCGACATTTCATCAGCGATATGTAGATTGAAATGAGTATGTTCTGTGTTATTATTATATGTAATTATTATTAGTATTGTTTTTATTATTATTATGGCATACTAGCGCTGTGACCTCTCTAGGTCTACTGTTCTAATCCTTAAGAAGGCACTTCATTTTACGAAAATTATAATAGTTTCGAGAGATATTTAGTTCTTAGGTCCTCTCAGCTAAGGTAAGGCAGTCACTCAGAGACCCCAGGCGATCGAGGTATACTTTGGAGATGTTGGCGGGATATCGGAACCCGCGGGGCAAACGTACTGATTTAAAAATGGCCTGGATGGGCGGTATCGGTAGGGTATTTACAATTTTTTCTGGCGGAATGGGACGAAAATCCCTTCCAGACATTCCCGATAAAACCCACAACCTCCGCAAATTCAGAAAATCTTCCGTAAATAAATTATACAAAAAAAACACTTTTTTTTATGTGTTGTTGACATGAAAACTTACCGCAAAGCATTAAAAAAATAATCGGAAGATGCCACACATTTTTTATTATTTAAAATCTAGTATACATCTTTGAACTGCCTTTTAATTTTTGACACATGCCTCCGTGGTGCAATCGGAGAGTTCTACCACCTTCTTAGAAGCTCTGCCGTGTATTCGTTGGATGGAGCCACAGGCTCTGCATTTGGTGAAAAGTTATTTTGAGGAAAAGCGCTTGTATATCTTTTAGCTCGCGTCGCTCCAAAAGTCGCATTGGCCGAGTGAGCAGAGCACTGGCATTTCGAGAGATCCGTACCACACTACGTTCAGTTGCACTTGCCGTCAATTTCTGTCTTCATACGTAAGGAAACTTTAAAGGCCACCTGCAGACTAAAAAGAAACCGAGAAGAGCCGATCCTGCCTTCAAGTGGATAAGAAAATTTGCTGGCGGCAGAGACCTGAGTACTTGTGTCTTTTCCGTGCCACCATTAGCTTTGTTGAAGATGTTGAGTTCCCTGAGGCTGATTGCTGATTTAATTCCAACACTGAGCCCGGACTTACACATTGTCGAATCTTTACTGATGGCTCCAAAACTGACTCTGGGCCAGGATATTGGGTCTTTATCGAAAATAATGAGGATAAAGCTTCGATCTTCCAGGCTGAGGTATTTGCAATCCTCAACGCCATGGACTACGTGGAAAATAGGTGGGAAGAAGTCTAAGTGTCTGCAGCGACTGCCCAGCAGCCCCAAAGTAGTTGGGCAATGCCAGTCTCGACTAAATTATGTTGATAAAAATAACCAGCTTGCTTTAGTTTTGGCACTAGGTCACTCGGGAGCACCTG